TCAGCCACTGGTAAAGATTTCTAAGGAGCATTCAACTGTTTAAAGAAGGGGAAAAAAGTCTATTTATTTCCTGCACATTGATAATTTTCTTGATTGTTACTGCAGGTTGAATACTCACGCGGTGATTGAACCATTTGTGATTGCGACAAATAGACAACTGAGCGTGCTTCACCCAATCTACAAGCTTTTGCATCCCCATTTCCGTGACACGATGAACATAAACGCATTCGGCAGGCAGATTGTGATAAATGCAGGTGGAATCCTGGAGACGACTGTTTTCCCAGCAAAGTATTCCATGGAGATGTCGTCTGCCGTCTACAAGAACTGGATTTTCCCCGAGCAAGCACTTCCCGCTGACCTCATCAAGCGGTAAATTCGCTTTTCTGTGCAAATATATCATCCATAAGACTTCTATTTAAAATTCCTTCAAAAAGCAAGAAAAATCAAGGCCAACAAAGATTGCGCAAATGTATATGGAATAGCCGAAGCTCGGGCCAAGATATATATCAATCTAGCTATCGTTTGTTTTACTCGAATTATTCTGACAGACTGAGTGTGACAAAAATATTCTACCTATTCTTGTCTTCGAGGGAGTCAATGTAAAAGATGCAAACTCTCCGCATGGCCTCCGCCTATTGATTGAGGACTACCCCTACGCGGTAGATGGGCTCGAGATCTGGTCCGCGATCAAGACGTGGGTTGAGGACTACTGCTCCTTTTATTACAAGAGCGACGAGACGGTTCAGAAGGACAAGGAACTTCAATCCTGGTGGAAGGAACTCGTGGAGGAGGGACATGGCGACAAGAAGGACGAGCCCTGGTGGCCTAAAATGCAGACTGTGAAGGACCTAACAGAGACATGTACGATCACCATCTGGGTCGCGTCCGCTTTCCATGCGGCCTTGAACTTCGGGCAATACCCTTATGCAGGGTACCTCCTAAATCGGCCCACCCTCAGCCGTCGCTATATGCCTGAAGAAGGTACTCCCGAATTTGAAGAGCTCAAGCAAAATCCTGACAAGGCTTTCCTGAAAACTATGACACCCCAGCTTCAGGCACTTCTAGGAATTTCGCTAATAGAGATCCTGTCGATGCATTCTACCGACGAGGTGTATCTTGGGCAGAGAGACACTCCTGAGTGGACGGTGGATGATGAGCCGTTGGAGGCGTTCAATAGGTTCGGAAAGAAGCTGGAAGAAGTGGAGGAAAGGATTGCAAGTATGAACGGGGACAAGAGGTGGAGGAACCGGGTCGGGCCAGTCAAGGTGCCTTATATGCTGCTTTACCCAACCAGCGAAGGCGGAGTGACTGCCAAGGGAATTCCCAACAGCGTCTCGATCTAAACTTTAGCACGTATACCTGTTCTTTTCTTGTTTGTTCGTTGTTAACTATTCTTTTGTTCTAGGATGAAAGATAGTGTAAGTATGAAATATGAATAACCAAAAAACAGACGGAGCATAATAAGTGTTTGTCAAGTTTTGGAACTCAGTCTGCTTATCGCTAGGCTAACTGATTGTTCTGGAGCTTTGCTTGTACAAGAACGAGACATTATCTACAAGTTTCAAACTTTACATGCACAATCGTTTGTTAAGGATTGAAAATATGCCAGGTCGTGAAATTCAGCAAGGAACCCCAGGATTAACCATCAACATGTTCCATTTATTCTTCCATTGCAAGTTCATGAACTATAATTAAGTTTATCTGTTTTTCTGATCTGTGTCAATCGCATAACTTAACCATCTAGACTACCTGCTCAATCTGATGATTTGATTCTGCAGGCTCAACAGTTAAGCTGATGATCATTATACTCGTCTCGCTCTCCTAGAACCTTTAAATTGTCGAATTCGGCTTATGTTTCCATTCTTCGAAGCAGACCTTCAAGTTGCGGTACATTTAGGTGAAAGGAAAGCCTTCCATGCTGGTGTGTAATATGAGTATTGGCCTCGACGAGGCCTAATGAGTTTTGCAGCATGTCAAATCCTTAACGATGTAACTTTAAGCAAAAATAAGTGGAGAAATAACAAGGATTCGAATTTCAACGCCTTGTGTTAACCCCTGGATAAAGAAAAGGTAACTTCCACACTATGGGCAAAAAAGAAAGCCACTGTAGATAAAACTGGTATTTTGTTAGCTTTCCTTTATATTCTCAGCTGTCCAATTCCGTCTATTCTTGTTTTCTTTCATTAAAAGTCACCAATGCTACCTAAAATACGTCAAATGTCCATTTGCTTGGCGAAGAATGCACTACTGAAAACATTTTTCATATTTTTCGACGTTTGAACGCTTACGAAAAAGAGCCCAATGGAAAGTCCATTCATGAGGTCTTTTCCTAGTCGATGGACATATATACTTAAATTCAAGAAAATAATTTCGTATTTTGAAAAGAAAAAATCATTTTTGAAGATACGAGTAGACATTAGCGTTTGGGCACAGCCCCTGATGCCTTTGCCCGGGTCCTAAGCTGTTTATCCCAAGTCCCTCTAGGCCTAGGACCCCGGTGCTCATGCACAAGTCTTCTGTGGCCATGCTTGGGTACCTGGCTCCCACGTCCAAGTCACCTGCCGGATCCGACATGAGCTATGAATTAGAGCTAATTTAGGAATATGTAATATTTACTTCCTATTTTGTCTCTTGATTATTTTATCTCCTGATAAGGAAGAGTCCTAGGGTTTGAGTCCTCTGTTGGGTATACATAGACAAGTTTTGTAAATTGAAGAGTGATAGAAATACAGAAATTTTTCCTCTAAAATCGCATGCGTTTCTTCAAGGTATCAGAGCCTAGTCGATCCAGCGACTCTAAAATTGACCATATCTGCCACCGCCACTCCGTTACCGACAAGACCCATTCTGCGTCGTGAGACCCTCCATAGCTTGCTTCCTCCCTCTCACACTCAAATCGCAACGCGAGAGCGAGAGAGAGGTGAGAGTGCCAATTGCCTGCAGGTGAAATCGAAGCCCTTACAACCCGAGAACTCAAATCTAACAAAAGGGAAAAAGACAAAAGAAGGCTGTTGAAGATTCCAGGGGATATTGAAATTAGGGTTTGAATTTTTTGGTGGTTTGACCATCGCATGAGACACTACGTCGAATTTGATCGACGCAGTTCCAACCCAGACCTGACCCGCTGCAGCTTGTATCGCTGCCGCGCAGACACGCCGGACCACAATCGTCGCTGCACCGACCTATCCGCAACAAAGGAGATTCGTTTGCGACATCAACCGCTGCACTGACCAGATCTCTTTGCCGTGTCGATCAGCTCTACGTGGAACTACTGCTGCTGTCCTTGATTCTTGCATAAACACGGACCAATGGCAGATCAAACTTCTACAGGAGCAGTGGTTCCCCAGAATCAGACAGAAGCACTTCTTGACAATCTGACATCGAAATTGACTCAAATCCTCACCCAAAATCAGACCCAAAATCCGATATCACACAATGATTCATCCGCCTCACAAATTGCAATCAAACTAGATGGAACCAATTATGGTTTATGGTCATAAGTGGTGGAGATGTATATCTCTTGCAAAGACAAGTTGGGATACATCAACAGAGACCTTTCGGAGCCTTTACCTATAGACTCTCGGTTTCGGAAGTGGAAAGCCGAAGACTTGACAGTGAAAAGATGGTTGATCAATTCTATGGATTCGGTGTTGATTGGCAATTTTATCTGATGGTGTATGATTTGAAGCACCGAGTTGCTCGGTTGAAATAGGCAGGGGCCTTGTCGAAAAGCACTACAATGACCTTCAAGGACTTTGGCGGGAGATTGATTTTCGCCGCCCTAATCTCATGTTATGTCTTACTGACATTGAGCGCTACAACACAGCTCTTCAAGAAGATCGTGTCTACACCTTTTTTGATGGTCTTGATGATCGCCTTGACAATGTTAGGGCTGATGTGTTACAGACGCAACCGTTTCCTACGGTGGAACAAGCTTACACACGGGTTCGGCAAGAGGACGTACGTCAAGCTGTGATGTTGACCAATGCAGATGCCCCCTCATCCGCTGCTGCAATGGTATCTCGAGGGAGGAGGATTGGGCCACGGTCTCTTGACGGCAGCCCAGAACCAAGAACTTTACGGTTGACATCTCTGGGTGGCAGGTCCAATGCAGGTTCCAAGCACAAGCTACAACCAACTGGGGGATATACCCATTGTGGGAATCCAAAACATACCAAGGAGACTTGCTGTAAGTTACATGGGTACTCCGATTAGTGGAAAGATTTGCAGGCCAAGAAAAAGACTGAGACTGCAGTTAATGGGGGTAAAGGACAGGCGTTGTTGGCCACTGGGGACTCGCCTCTCTCATTGGTTCCACAGGTAGACTCCACCAATATCTCTGCCTCGGCTCCTGAAGGTAACTACGGATATATTTTTGTCAACACTCATCAGGGTGGGGGCAGTGGGTGGATTGTTGATTCAGGCACTACCGATCATATGACGCCCAATCCTGATGATTTCATTTGCCACGCCACTCCACGATGACAATGTATCTATAATGCTAATGGCCGTAGCTATCCAGTGACAGCGGCTGGGAGTGTTGCTCTCACGCCTTCCCTGTCTTTATCTCACACTTTGCTTGTGCCCTCATTATCTAATCGATTATTATTTGATGGGCAAGTTACTAAGGAGTTTAATTGCAGTGTTCTCATGTACCCCAATTTTTGTTTATTTCAGGATATCCACACGAAGGAGATTATTGGACGTGGTACTAAGAGGGAGGGGCTATACTACGTGGATGATCTCACCACTGGCAGAGTTCATCATACCCGGGTCAGACTACTAGTAGGGAGAAAGAAATATGGTTGTGGCACCGTCGATTAGGACATCCGTCTTTTGGGTATTTGAAGTACTTGTTTCCTGAGTTGTTTAAGGGTTTATCAAATTCTGTATTCCAGTGTGAAACATGCATCTTGGCAAAGGGTCATCGTGTTCCTTTTCCATTGAGTTTTAATAAAAGCACCACACCTTTTGTGTTAATTCATTCTGATGTGTGGGGTACAGGAACGGGAAGCCGTTCTTGCTGAAATGGATGCCATCGGCAGAGAAGCGGAGGTATACTGTGTCCTCTAAAGAGATCATCGACAGCCTCTACTTAGGTAACATTTTTCCATTTACCTTCCTCTTTTCATGTTGCTTCCCTTTTGTCAGTTGCGAGGCTTCGAATATGTGAAGGCTGTGACACTGGTGCTCGAACCATTCACGGTGGAGAACGGACTTCTCACTCCAACATTTAAGGTGATTCCATGTTGCCTTTGCTTTTTCACCTTAAAAACTAATCGCATGAGCGAGAGTCGTTGCATTTCGGACAAACATAGCAAAGTGTACTCAGAAGTTAACATTATCTCTTTTATTTGTAGATCAAGAGGCCTCAAGCCAAAGCCCACTTTGCTAAGGCGATATCGGACATGTACACTGAGCTCTCTACATCCGATCCATCTCCTGATGCGTAAGTCGCGAATAACATCTGAAAATTTAAATATTTCATTTGTATACGGAGAAATTAATCAAGGGTACGAGGCAGAAGCTGATTGCTGTACACGCTACGAAATTAGGTCTCTGTAATTTGCTCTCCTGTTTGATTGTATACTCTTAACGGTGCAGTTTAAGCATTCAGTCTTAGGTGAATACTGTCGCCATCGCTGTTCGCTTTTAAGCTGATTCGGCATATCATCCTACAATTTATTGTAACGGCAATTCCACACAACAGTGGGACAGAGTCCCAAACAAATTTTATAATAACGAAAGAAACTTAACGGTAATCACTGAATTGGGAGGGGTCGCGTATTGTCCCAAAGCCATTGACGAGCGGAACCGTCTAGCAGCGGCGAAACCTGTGGAATGGGGACGACAGAAGAGTTAAATTAATCGGTGGGTTTTAGGGGGGGAATAAACTCTCTTTTTAGTCATCTGTTCTCGAAGTAGGGCCTGACCTTTTCCCAGACTTGTGCATGGTAGTCGTTGAGCCAGTTGATCTCAGCGGAAGAGAGCAAGGCCGAGTCCACCATTTTCGTCTGCACAGAAACTCACGAAATAAGGATGAGCACCGACAGCCAAAAGAAGCACCAAGAAACACATCCCTGTCGAGAAAAAAAGAAAGCACCGCGCGCACCTGAATCGGAACAAACGTAAGTTTCTCAAATCCAAGATAACCAACCCCTCCAAAGCGATTTGGCGTGTTCATCTCCACCACAGTAAGAAGGTTCTGCAGAATAAAAGACCGGTTGATCTCAAGACTCAGCAGAGCAAATTTCAGAGATTTGCGGACGACAACAGGCAAAAAGACGACAGAACTCCGATTGAATCAGAATCTCTGTATGAGGCAAGTAAATACAGCAAGGGTGAAAAGCAACTGCATGAACCAAAAACGTTGGATATATCTCAAGAAGCAACCAGCTAGAATTATGACAAGGTGAGGAACTCATTTCGAGAATATTATCCATCCGTTCAGCAGTAATGCACCTCTGAAACTCTTTATCCAAAGAGCTACTAGAATGTATAGAATAAGTGCCCATAAAATACTTTATCAAAAAAAAAAAAAGTGCCCAAAAAATACATTATGCCTACGCGGGATGTGGAGTTTTCAGGAAATTCTTTGCGCCCAGCTGAGGATACAGCGTATCCCACCACCTCCTTTTTCCTATCCGCTATATAGATCCAGGTAGCCTATTGTGCTCTATCACACCTCAACTTACAGAATAGGCACGAAATCTCTTTTTACCATCCCGCAAATAGGATTTGGGTGCCAATATCTCTCATAAATCTTATTTAGGAAACAAAACTATTTATGATAACTGATGTCTTACCTCAATACGAATGCCAAAGGCATGGTCTTCGTAGTAACCAGGTTCGTTGCTCACAACCATGCCTTTCTGTAGGGAGGTCAGATTCCCATAGCGGAAACTAATACTTTGGGGTCCTTCATGAACATTCAGTGCAGCTCCCACGCCATGTCCAGTCCCTATTGCAAGGAAAGACCAAGAGGCCGTGCTTGAAAGTATTCTCAATAGTATTTCGAATAAACAAGCAGCTAAGGAATGAAATGTACCATGCCGATAGTCGAGGCCAATCTTCCATAGAGACGAGCGAGCGAACGCATCCAGGACAAAGCCAGGGGTATTTTCAGGAAAAACAGCTTGATCGAGAGCTATGTGGCCCTGAAATTAAAGGTTTCATCAAGAATGGGGAGGCAAACAATTATTAGAAACCACAAGAGTTCAGCCTAAAACATTAGATTAGGATGGACATTGTGAAAAAAGAAAAAAAGGCGCAACAAGAAACAATGCACAATATATGCAAACAAAGAACATTCATAGTTTTGGCCCCACCTAAAAAAGGAGGGAAAGAGATCATGCCTAGTTGCACAATATCCTTATAACTGGAAATTTGTGTTTGTAAACTCATGTAGAAATATATAAGGGTCTTGTTAACAAGCACCCCAAGAGCGCTTGATAATAACCTAAAGATAGAAATTTTTTTTTTAATGCACATTAATGGACATCGAAGATTGAACATATATTTCCTTGCTGGCATGTCATGAATAAAGCTACAAGTGACAAAGCAAAATTAATACTTCTCATCAAGTGTCCTAGGGCACAATTTAAGGAAATCCAATATATAAAGAACGCCACCAGATATTAGTGAGAAAGCTCATATTCAATGTTGTAGAAAATAAATGTATAAATGAAGAAGTGTGACTGGGTGAAGCATTTGACAAATTAAAAGAACCGAGCACCTGCAAAACTCGGGTAAAGCATTCCTTTTGTCGTGGTGTGGGTTCCCCAAAATGCACTGTTCTTGTTATATCGGTTGTTCCATCAACATATTGAGCACCACTATCTAGCAGGAACAGCTTCTGGACATCCAAAACACTGCAACTGCCTGGTTCTGGTTTGTAATGTATGATAGCACCATTGGCCCCAGAACCTTCAAATCCATATGGATAATGAGTGAGAAATAGTGGACAGGTGAGAGATGAGATTTCCAGAAAAGTGACTTCTCCCAAGCGATGCAAAAATATTTTCTAGCCCTTTTACAACAAAATCATCACTAAAAGTCTACCTCCACTTGTTTGCACACTATCCAACGTCATATCCTATCCAATTCTACTTGCAAAAAGAAAAAGTGAGAAAGAGAATCCACCAAAATTAATTTTAAAAGAATCGATAAGAATCTTCATTTTTCAGGGACAACATCAGGAGAGAGAGAGAGAGAGAGAGAGAGAGAGAGAGAGAGAGAGAGAGAGAGAGAGAGAGAGAGAGAGAGAATTTCTTCATTTTCACTGCAAAAAGTTATCCAAGATGTTGAAACATAAAATGTACCACTTATTGTGTCGAAGCTTGTATCAATGAAACCGTCCTGCATAGAACGAAACTCGAGGAGCTTATCTGCAACTTCCACTTCTGTAAGTTTAGCACCCCTATTAATTTCTTCTTCCAACCAGACCCAGAAATGAGCTAGAGCTGCTGCATCCCTGCAGACGAAATATATTTCACTAAGATCACTGGATCCTTAGTAAACATACCGGCATAGATAGAGACATTTTTTCAAACAAACAAGCTTCCTAAAACAGCAGTGCTTAATATGTCAATGAGCTTCACATTTACAGATCTAAGTGTTTTCTCTATTGCTGTGAGATCACTCTCGCACATGTTGACAGATTCAACCTATTATCGTGTTTTTCCTTACACATCGCAACTTTAAGAGAGATACCGATTTGACCAATGTAGTGTCCTGCAGCAAAATCTACTTATTCACGCACTGAAGTCTATTTAGTTTTCATCCGGAGGACAGAGTACCAATAAAAATATTTACTAAGCATTCTTCACAGACCACAATGCTCAGGTCATTCGATAACATATGATCAGCATTCTTAATTTGAAAATGCACTCTAAGGTCAAAAGACAAGTAATTACCTCTCTCCCCAAAAAATTTGCACATCTGCCTATAAAAAATGCACCAACAGGTGCATTCCCACGAACACATGAAGAAATTTCATTTCTGTGTCTTTCAATCAATCAGCTTCTAGTTATTAAGATTGTGACATAATACTGAATGAACTGCATCGAGGTGGGCGTGACAAAAGTGATGGAATTAGCCTAAATTATCTTGAATTGACTAACTCAACCTGCCAAGCTTCTACACATATTTGTATACAGACAAACTAATTTCCCAAAATAAAAAGAAGGGAAGACAAAAGGCTATTCAGCGAGATGCAAGAATACATTTTGGAAGATGCTTGTACATGTTGATCAAATGCTGATGCCCATGTAAACTCAAATGGTAATCAGAATTGTGTAAGGAGAGAGATTCTGAAAGTAATGTTGGGCCTTGGGAGTACCTTAAATGAGAGTTTCGCATTCCCTGCAACTCAGCATCATTTTTCACTGCCTTGGCCAAAGAGATAGGGGAAGCCCTATAAACTCCAGATGGCATGGCTGATCGACCATTGTAATCTTGAACCCTAGCCTTACTCTTTTTATTCAGATACTTATCACAGGCAGACTTGTAGGTGTTGACAATGGCAGCGTTCATTGATGATGTGTCTAACCAAAGATTTCCCCCTTGTTTCGCCAAACTGCATAGATAAAATTGCAGAATAAGGGCGCAGCAGACAAAAATATGCTGTCAATGATGCCAAAGTACAGTAAGAATCAAAAAGCACCGAGTAAAAGAGCATCCTAGTGAATGAGGCCACTGTGTATGGCAAGGGTAAATTTATCCAGCCTCAGTTCCACAATTCAAACAAGCTGTTACATGACTTGAATACATGTACCATTCTCAACAATGAACCAAGGCTAGCCGAGTGCCAATAGATGTGAAAGCACTCATCTGATGGCCAAATAATAAGCCAGCAAACCAAATATATTTTCTCTGTCTCACTCAAATCAGGACATCTCCAGCAAACTTAAATGGAAAAGGCAAGCATCATTCTCACACTAAAAAATGGCCACAAAAAAAACAAAAAGAGGGAAAAAGAACCTCATGGACTCACTTTTCTATTTCAGACAGAATTTTATCATATGGTCTCAACTCAACGCCTGCATTTTTCAAATGATCCATCACTTCCGGTGTGATTTTGGAACTATCAACGAATAACTCAGCTGTATCAGTCTTCACAAGTAAATAGGCATACACGACTGGAGAATGTGGAACATCACTTCCTCTCTGCAATATGGAATCTCATATATCAGGGTACAGCAAATTATGCAGGCCTACAAGAAAAAAACAAGATGAAAATTGAATAAAAAAATTCCTACCAGACAAGAATAAGACTCCAAATATAGGCACAAGATGATAAAATTCAACTACTATGAGCAAAGCTCTTCAAGTATCAGATGGATATGACTGCTCAGTTGCAAATCATTACCAGGTTTAATAGCCACGCCACTTCATCAAGCATCGATATAATGATGGCAGATGCACCAGCATCAACAAATTCGGCCCTCAGGAAAGAGAGTTTTGATGCCACGTCTAAGCCAGCGAATTTTAGATCATGAATTCTAACTGGCTTAGTTGGAGATTTTGGCCTTTCTTTCCATACTACATCCACCAAGTTTATATTGTACAGGAGAACCAGCTCATGATTTTTCTTAGCAATAGCCTCCTTTAATTCTTCCGCAGCATCAGAAGAGAAGAGAAACTGTTCACTTCACACCATGAAAGACAGGCGGCATCAGAGAATGAGATTAAAAAGTTTAAAGCAAATGTGTCTTTGTTTGTGTAGAAACCAGCAAATATAGGGACTAAAAATGGTGAAAGATATGAAAAACAATCAAGAGTCTGAATAAGGTCAATATAAGATAAAACTTTCATGCCAAAGCACAATAGAATAACAGTGAATACATAATCCTGAAAACTCAACATTGCTATTACAAGAATTACAAACCCTTATGGACACCCTAATATTCTCGCAGAATTTATGGCCAATACTATGAATCATAGAACTAAAATGAAATATACGATCAAATACCATTTATCAAATTAATAACTCTTTGCAAAAGAAGCGATGTCAAAAGGGGCTTTGTATGTGATGAACCCCTAGGCCACATAATGGCCGTAGACCTCCCAGTTAAAGGGAGGGGAGGGACACATGAATTTGACAAATTTTCTGATCTATTTGAAGAAAAATGTATATGGACAAAATATGGCCCTTGAAACTATGAAAGCCATAAAAAGATTTACAGGATCAATGCCAATTCTGCATCCAGGAGCCAGAACGTCATTGAGCCATTCACTAGTTGTTGGAACTCCTAGATTACCAGCCCGCATGAGAATCCAACTGGAGTTTAGCTGATTCTCGGCCTACCAATAAGAGTGATAGATGCGATCAGTACAACAACCAATGTAGATAGCCAAAGAGTTTCAGGCATAGGAAAGAGCAGAAGTACTTACAAACACTAAAGAGCTACTTGGTTAAGACCCTTAGCAAATTGAAATTGTAAGTTTTCGCTATCAGACCTGAAGAAAATAACGTCCATCTGTCCATAGAGCTGCTTTATCCTTTGTGACGACAGCAGTGCCAGCACTGCCTGTAAAACCTGATATATAGGCCCTCCTCGTATAACATTCTGCAATGAACTCACTCTGCAATCCAACATGCATGAATAACAAAAAAATTAACACCGGAGCAGTGACAAGAAATTAATACTGGACCAACAAGACAGAAGGCATTGGCAATTCCTTAGGCGAACTCCTTCGCTTTATAATAATAGAACCATCTCCAAGTCCTAAGAATTAGCGAAACTTGAAGGGGACATAATCTTATTCCTTCGAGTATGTTCCAGATGAACAGGAAAGAAGAAGCTCCTATATCAATTCTTCGATGGAACAATGCTAGATAGGAAAACCTTATTTTTCCGAACAGAAACAGTAGACTAACTCCTAAGCGAATCAAATCCTATGCTGACAATGAGCTTGAACCAGAAGCTCATTGTCTTTCACTCTTTCCGACGTAGTAACCGCTTCCCATCCATTTCAAGCAATGTACAGTCCAAAGGTAGTCCGTACAAAACGTCATAGTTAACCATAACAAGGTATAACGTCGATGTCATTCATCTAACACAACACATCAGCACTTCCAGAGCGGAACAACAGGATCGAGCGATTAACGAAGAAGTACCTCTGCAGTTCCAGAATGGAAACAGCAGGTTTACGCGATCAAACTATCAGAACATCGACCGAAAAGAAAAGGAAGAAGCAGAGGACCGAACCTGGTGCGCGTCCTGAGAAGGAACGACGTACGCATCGATGCCGATCCCAGGCCTCGAGAAGAGCTCGCGGAGAGCCCGGAGCTTCAAGTCGGGCTCCGGCCCGCCGCCGCCGCCGCGCCGCTTCCTGACCTCCGATGACGGCCTCGCGGTCACGGAGCCGCAGCTCCGGACGCAGAGCCGAGGCGGCGGCGGACCACCGACGGCCGTCGATCTCGGGAGGCGCCCGGAGGGAGGGGGCCGGGAGCTCGGGAAGAGAGGGAGGGAGAGGGCGAAGAGGCGGAAGCACAGAGGGCGCGAGGGATGGGAGGTCCGCATGGCCGGTGATCGGAGGGAGTTGATGGCCGTTGGCTGAAGAGAGAGAATCGTTTCTCTCTCGCAGCTCGGAGAGAGAGAGAGATGATAAGAGAGCGTTGGGAGCTCGTGAGATTTTCTATATATCGCGAAAAATAGATAATTTTAAAAAAAATTAATAATTAATAAAAATAATAATATTTACATTATCGGTAACAATTCATGTTTAAATATTTTCGCAAATGGTGAAAAAACGTTTTCGTTTATTCACTGTTATAAGTGATACAAACAATCATTTTTTAGGAATCGTTTCTCAAACCATTTATTTTCTTTCTCCTATATAATGTCTTTTACTTTTTTTTGATTAACTTTATGACTTTAAATCACTATACTTAGATTTTTTGGAGTAAATTTTAAGGAGTACGAGTTCGTGAGCTCCGAGTAATTATCCATATCATAAATGAGTACCGATTTCTCATCTTAGACAAAAGATGAACTTTTCAATTTATTTGTCAAAAAAAATTGCATAGGAAACATGTATAGACAGACCTCTACAATATGTTTTTAGTTAATATAAATCTTGCGACGCATGCATTTTGCCTTTTTCTTAATCCAAAACACCAGGAATTTCACAATACATTAATAAATTTAAGGAAAAATTTCAATTAAGGACCCAAAGTAGGGTCAAATTCTCAAAAAAGGGTCCAAAGTGAATATAGTGTCAAATAAGGGCCTGAAGTGCCCAATCAGTCTCAAATAAGGACCCGAAGTGCCCAAAAAGCCTCAAATAAGGGCATGGGTCGCCGGCGGGCAATAATATTACTATTCCGGCACCAGAATAGTAACATTCTTGCCGGCCGGCAGGCATTTTGGCCGGTCGGCGACCCAGGCCCTTATTTGAGACTTTTTGGGCACTTTGGATCCTTATTTGAGACTGATTGGACACTTCAGACCCTTATTTGACACTATGTTCACTTTGGACCCTTTTTTGAGAATTTGACCCCACTTGGGGTCCTTAATTGAAATTTTCCCTAAATTTAATATTAACTCGTGAATTCACATATCGAATAAATTCAAAATACTTTCGACAGGAAAAAGTAAAATTGAAACGGGCCCCAGTTTTCTTCTCCCCGCTAGAGATGAGAATTTGGGCCATTCTATTCAAGCCGAGCCCAGCAGCTTTCGTCCTTGGGCCAGAAAGGCCCACGGGCTTTAGAGCAACTTTCCAGGCTTTTTTCCCCCCTTGATTTATAGCAGCGAGGTTATCATCGAACCCTTTCTTCCGTCATCATGGAAGGACTACACATTTCCAAATCCTCGATGAAAGGGACTCCATCCAACCACGCCTCTGATAGGTGAATTTCCATAACTCGTAACCTACCATTCTCCGACTAAGCTTGGATGAAGGCTCGACCTTTACAAACTGAGAAAAATGCTTGTTTTTAAGGAAAACGATAGGCTCTATCATCAGGTCTACTTATACATATATACAATTTCTAGCACATATAGAGCCAATCTCATGTACACATTGGATCCAGTATGATTCTTCTTTTTTTTGTTTGTTTTTGTAGCATTTAGATATTACATGACGCCTTCATCTAACGGTTAGATCGGGATTTGACCCGGGATTGAAGGGCGAGAAAATATAATTCTAAGGTAAAGAATGATCTCTTGCTCTACCATCATAATAGACTGTGCAACAAATCAAAGTTTCAATGGGAGAGTTATATCCTTGGTCTTGTCTTTCTTATCCACAAACACAAGCAATCAAAGCTATAAAGAAAAATAAACCATCCCAATTTCCAGCTCATCCATTATAAGATTCAGAGGGTAGGTAATCTTTTTCCTGAGGTCACAATGAAAAAAACATGATGAGTTCTGTTTAGTTTATGATCAAACATACGTAAGTTGACAAGTCATGTCGAATTCCTCCACGAATCGATCTTATCACATGTGCATATGCGTGGTGGTTTTGGACCATGTGACTTTCTACCCGTCTAATAATTTAATTTGCATACCCAACAAATCTATTAACTCAGCATAGTATGAAAACCAATAAAAATAAATTTCATATTGTTGCTGACATCACAATTCGCTAGACTATCATCCAATTGTTCGCAAGAAAACTTAGATAGAAACCTCAAAGCGTCACCCTCAATCTTCATCACCCTCGTTCTATTATTCAACCAAGGCCACTATCATCACCTCACATGTATAAATTAGACATTACGATAAAATTATCTTTTGGCCAACAAACATTCAAGCCAATCGAATTTGCCCCACATTACATGTATAAACATATTTTATGTAGCAGCTTGGACCAACGAAGGCGCGATTTAGCTGGTATTCGAAATAGAAAACACTGGCACGAAATATGTCAACAGCTACATAACTATACATTAATTAAATTAATCATGTTTTTAATCATTTTAAAATAGGTACTATGAAAACTGATGGTTGCAATACTGCTTCCTTGGTGACTCCACGAGTAGGTATTGCAACGAAAGCATCTTTCTTTTGTCAGTGCAGGAAGAATCAATTTTTTTATCCAATTTGAATATGAATATATTCGATACGCTTCCTGATAAATAATAGGTAGCGATAGCATGGATCGGGTGCATGACCTAAGCTTTTAGTGGACGTTTGAGCTAACTAGCTTTTTATTTCAGATTCCGTAGAGGTTTCACCAACACACTTATTTCGCATGCTCGACACTAAATCCGTCAAATGGATGGGTCGGGTTGGCAAATGGTCCTACCCAATCCCATTCAATATTAGTGACATATACCCAACCTGACTCATAATGCTAAAACACTTCTATATTTAACCTAATTTAAGAAATTTATACTTAAACTGAGGTGAGAGTGCGGAGTGAACGAGCACGAGGTTGAGTGAGAGCAAGAGAGATTCATAGATATGGGTTGAATCTAATTAAGTTGTGAACCCATTTAATACCCATATTATTTTGGATTTAATAATTTCAAACCCAATTACGATCAATTTACTGAATATATATTTAACCCACATAACAACTTATCTCATCAAATATGAATTAAGAAATGGGTCTATGACCCATTTTGACAGGTCTGCTCGACACAGACGTGTCGAACTCGGGATCACATCCACACGTGCGCCCGACCTCGCTTCTAGCGTCTCGTGACTCGGTCCGGGGCGTCGGTTCCAATTTCGCCAACAAGGACTAGGAACTTTCAATTGATAACCAAATCTCGGAAGTGTATCGTACAAGACTAAAATGTATGGATATCGCATTTTCTCTAAATCATGTCTATTTTTCGGATGGCTCGTGCTTCGAAATCTCTATCTTTATCACGCGACCGTCCAATAATAATTGATCTCCCAAAGCTCATCATCCTCATCGGTTCGGACATGTTCACACTTTTCGCTACACGCTTCGGACGCTCGTTGGTACCTTTTTTTGTGAAGGGCTTTGATTCGTTGCTTCGTTTGGAGTTCTTGGAATATCGATAACACGTGGCGCTAAATTTGGTTCCGTTGACTTGACTTTCGAGGTTCGGGCTGGCTTCGTAGGGGGCGGGATCATCTTACCGGCCCGTGATCACCGGACCCTCTCCCATCCACAAGTGCTCTCCACCGTCAGGTCTTGATCAATCGTGTTAGGTGACCTTTTAGGCCGGTGACAAACACAACCTATATTCTGCCTGCCACCAAAGGAGTACATGTTTCAATGTACCACGGCGGTGACAAGTTTACCAAAAATTTTGGAAGAAGTTTACTAATGTTACTTTTGAATAGTATCTCCTAATTAATGGACTGTGAAAGTACTTATGTATATGTAATCTCAGTGTTACAATCTGTTATTACTTATGAAAGATACATTTGTCCATGCAAAATCAAAGAAGCCAGTATTAAGGACTTTTATGTAATTGAATACTATGGCACCAAAGTAACTGACTTTTTTGCTCGCTTTACAATCGAGCACCAAAATATTTATTAATTCAACCAAGTACCCCAACTTCTCAAATTTGGGTCAATGCGAGACATTGGTTAAAATCGCAAAAAAAGAAAAGGCCGATTGGATATATCGCCGGTAAATAGGCCTTAATCGTATACATGATATGACCTTTTGAAATGACATCGCGTCAACAAAGATATGTTGGATGGATAAGATCGTTCAAGTAACATTCTCTTTCTCTCTTTCCTCATCAACTAAGAGTCATGTGGGCTAAATCACATGACATGGCGATTTATTTAATGGAGACCTTATAATTTATATCAAGCCAAATTTGAATAAATGAGGTACTTGATGAAACAAAGAAAAAGTTTAGATATTTGATAGTAAGATGGACAAAAGTTCAGACATTTGCCCTGGCGTTTTCAATTTTGTCAATATTTCTTTTAGAATAAAAAGGGTCGGGAGAGGCGACCAAAGCAACTTCCCATCTAGGCATTACTATAGAGGTCCCAAGAGCTTGTATGGAAGAGAGAGATATAACTATATGGTTTCAAAATCTTTGAAGGAAAAATAAATCCTAGCGTAAGCGCAACTAAATCGTTGACTTTGAAGAAGTCTAGTCCGATTGCTATTGCCACGACCACGAGGGCGATTGATTTGGAAAGAAACACCAATAGCACCAATCGAGCACGTATACAAGTTCCGTTTGTTTCGTGAAAAATGAATAATTTGAAAAATATTTTCTTAAAGATGATTGCTTACATCGGCTGAAATAATTAGTCAATAAATATATTTTCATCATCGATAACAATGAATGTTTAAATATTTGCGTAGACTATGAAAATATATGTCATCAATTTATTTTTGTAAGCGATACAAGCGATCATATTTGAGGAAAATATTTTTCAAATTATTAATATTTTGCGAAACAAATGCACCGACGATTACACATTAATTTACCCCCAAGCGACTCAATCCATCCAATTTTAGGCGATCTTCTCAACAAACAGAATGCGTCAACTTCCCTACGAAATGCCTCATTCATTCGTATCAATTTAGGAAATCACCAGGATTCTATGACAACAAAAAGGGAAAAGGTAGACAAATGTGGGCACGACAAATAATCGAAGTAGAATGAAGAAAAGTATGCGTTAGTGTCGCGATTTGAACTCTCGCCTTCGAGCTTTGATATTC